AGTTACCTCTGTTTGTCAGACAGGCCCCCTCCCTCTCGGTTTTCAAGTCCCATTTAAAAACTCATTACTATTCAGTAGCTTTCAACACCAGATGATCTGTGTTTTGATCCTGTACGCTCCACACTGGTTTGTCGTCATTATCTGCATCGTTTTTATGTATATATTCTGATTTACCTCATTTTGTATTTTGCTTTGTGTGTTACCTGTTGTTTTGTCTGTACAGCATTTTGGTTGGCTTTGTAGCTGTATTAAGTGCTTTATAAATAAAGTGGTATGGTATGGTATGGTATGGTATGGTAAATGTAAAACTGTAAAACCCTCAAGAGCATTTTTTTAAACAACTTTGAATGTGAAACAAAAACCCAACATGTTCTGCACTTGAGCATGGGAGTGTAAGAGTCATGATTTGGGCTGCTGAGTGTATCAAACATAAAGTGACGAGACAATTAAATTACACAACATGAAGTTCTAAAAACTTGCATTTTTGAGCACTAACAGAAATTTTAGGGTGTTCAAATGTTTTTATTACATCATCATCAAACTAATCGTAAGTGTACCGTAGTTCAGGGATTACTTTCCAGGCACCCCCGCGATAGGTGAAAATCCGCGAAGTAGGGACGTTATATTAATATATATTTTAAGGCTTTATAAACCATTCCCACACTCTTGCAATGTTCAATGCTTACATACATAATTTTAACAACATACATATATGTACTGTACAGTACTATAAAATTTTATATGGGTACTCACCAGTGAAGATACTCCAGTACTACATCTTGTAGGATGAGTTCAGCTTCAGGATTATTTGCAACTTTCCTGCCAGTTTTGTGAGCTTAATAGATTTTTTTATAAATTGAACCTTTATTTTACCAGGATAAAAACGCAATGAGATTAAAAACCTCTTTTTCAAGGGAGTCCTGGCCAAGAGGCAGCAACAAATACAACACAAAAATTTACACAGTTAAAAGAAAATGTCAAGCTATAAAAAAACAGGTACCGTATTTTCCGCCGCACCCGTCGCACCGCCCTATAAGTCGGATCTGTCCAAATATGTGTAAAAAAAATGGAAAGATCCATAACTATGTCGCTTCGCTGTATACATTGCATCTATTATGCATCCTCGATGATGCGTCGCATTTGTTACGTGTCACCGCTGACAGCCCAGAAATGTGGGCAGGTGTTGTGCCAAAAATCAATTGGCTGCCAAATGGCGGCCGCGGGAGCGTGCACAAGAGGACTTTCACAAGAATTTAACAAGATTAACACTTAAAAACAATTATTTGTTTGCTCAAAATTATAGTAAAGGTCTCAGTTTACCTTTTGCTTAATAAATGTACTTTGATGGTCAAGTCAGCTGCATTTCAAAACCTAATTTGCGGAAGTGGCAGGCACACGCAGATAGACGAGCCGCTGCATTTCTTCGAAATTTAACAAGATAAACACCTAAAAGCAATTATTTGTTTGCTTGAAATTATAGTAAAGGTGTTTCACAGTCTAAAGTTTGCTAAACAAAAGGACTTTTAACGGTCAAATCAGCTGTATTCGCTGCCTCGGTGCTCCGGGAGTGCTCAGAGGGAGGAAAAAAATAAGCAGGAACGCTGCTCGTTTCTTCGAAATTTAACAAGAAAAGCACCTAAAACAATTATTTGTTTGCACAAAATTATAGCAAAGGTGTGTCTCAGTTGAACGTTTACACAATGAATGCACTTTAATGATCCAATTAGCTGCATTTCGCCACGGAGGTGCAGCAAAATGAAGCTGAGCTCCAAGCAGCGAGCAGAACAAAGGTGGGGGGTTCTAAGGCAAGCCGATTGTATCATTAATAGCTGGTGAAGATTCTCAGTCATCCAGGACATGGTAAATTCAAAAAAGTTCAAGACAAAAACATCCATCCATCCATTAGCTTTTACCCACTTCTTCCATTTTGGGTCATGGGGGTCGCCGGTAAGACATAAACAATAAAGTAAAAAGTAAAGTATAATAAAATCCAGTTGTTTTTGTCTTGAACATTTTTGAATTTGTCATTATAGCCCCGTTTACCTAGTACATGATACAACGGCATGCCTTACTGCTACTACTACTCTGCTGCCTTCTAATGGTTGAAAATGGTACTGTTCAATTTTTTACTACTATGCTGCCATCAAGTGGCTGAAAGTGGTACTGCTAAAAAAAAAATCAGTCCAAATGAATGAAAACGGTCATATCTCAGCCAAAAATTGGTTTAGAAATCCATCCATCCATCCATCCATTTTCTTTACCCGTTTGTTCCATTTTGGGTCACGGGGGTCGCTGGTGCCCATGTCCAGCAATCACTGTGCGAGGGGCGGGGTACACCCTGGACGGGTCGCAAGTCCATCACAGGGCCACATAGAGACAAACAACCATTCACTCTCTCACTCACACCTAGGGACAATTTAGAGTTACCAATCAGCCTAGCATGCATGTTTTTGGTCTGTGGGAGGAAACCGGAGTACCCGGAAAAAACCCACGCATGCACGGAGAGAACATGCAAACTCCACCCAGAAAGGCCCCTGGACCGGGGTTTGAACCAGGGACCTGCTCGCTGAGAGGAAGCAGCTCTACCAGTTGCGCCACCGTGCTGCCTGGTTTAGAAATATGGGGGAAAAATCCATAAATATGTCGCTTCAGCCTATAAGTCGCAGGGCATTCAAATTATGCAAAAGACTGTGACTTATAGGCTGAAAAATATGGTACATATCATTGAATTGGCCTCAATAACTTTTAGTTTAGGTGTAAAAGCACTGAACGAGATGAATTCTGTCAATCTCAGAGTTTCTTGTAGCAAGTTCCAAGAAGAGGGAACAGAGTGAACGAAAGCCTTCTTACCCAATTCAGTACAAGCAAAAGGGACAGAAAGAAGCAGCAAATCATGTGAGCAAAAAGTGAAACATAGGTAGATTGTTACTTCTGACTTTGTGTTGCAAAATGATTTTTACCACATCAGTTTCTCCCTTAGTGTTTACTCCCTCCATTGCTGTTCTTTGAATTTCAGCAGAAAGCAGCAACTGGAAGCACTGTTGACTTCTGGGCCATGTAGTTCTTTTGACTTGTTACAGTGTAGGCTTTTTGAAAGAAAACATTGGTTACATACCGTAACCCCAGATTCTATGAGTATAGGCGTAGCCCTTTAATAGCTGTCGCTGGTGGGTTTTATCCCTAAGGCGCTCAGCGCTGCACTGAAAAACTTTAGTCAACGCCCACCTGCTTTGTGGGCCTCTCCCCCGGTCCGTATAAATTACGGTGAGACCGGGAATCGGCCCCCAAATAGCTTTTTTCTTCAGCCATTTAGGAACCAGTGAGGCCCCGCGCTTAAAGGGCTACGCCTATACTCATAGAATCTGGGGTTACAGTACGTAACCAACGTTCTATTTCGTATAGGCTTTGCCCTTTAAGAGCTGTCGCTGGTGGCTTAAAGGCGAAGCAGGATGTTAGGGTTAGGTTATGCCTCACTGGGTCCATTCAGACACAACATGAAGCACCTGCTTGCACAAAAAAACCCATTTCATCACTCAGCCTTCTGTGTGCATAATTACGCGCTGCGTAATTGTGTGCTCCATGCGCAGGAGCACACCGGAAAAAATCTCTGGTGAGGAAAAAAGGCTGAGATAGCAGACCTGCTGTTGTGAATAGGAACAACGGAGGATACAAATTGTAATAGTGTAACGATGAACAGAGCAGACCAACAGCTCCACAGGATGAACCGATTAATAACGATAAAATCAGCTGTCATCAACTTGTGACTGATAATAAATATCTCCCACTGCAACTGCATGCAGGCAGGTGTGAGCTCAAAAGTGAGGCTCCATGAAACAAATAATAATCATTCTGTCAGAACCCTGAGAACAGAATGGGTCATGGAGAAAGTAGAAACATCACGTAGATAAAAACGAATAATTGAGCATGGCGATGACCAGGCAGCCAGGACGGCAGGAGGTTGGCATGACAGAGACCCAGGCAGCCTTAGCAAAGGTTGTGCCGGTCAAAGCTGGACAACTTTCCTTCTTCGTTCTTCTGACAGTGCTAGCTGGCTGAAGAAAAAATGGGAGCCGATTCCCGGTCTCACCGTAATTTATATGGACTGGGGGAGAGGCCCACAAAGCAGGTGGCCGTGGACTAAAGTTTTTCAGTGCAGCGCTGAATGCCTTAGGGATAAAACCCACTAGCAACAGCTCTTAAAGGGCGAAGCCTATACGAAATAGAACTACAAAATGGCGGCACCTGGCTGAATGATTATTATTTTTGTTTTGTTTTTGTTTTTTGTCCTATTGGTTGGCTCCCACTCCTGCCCACCCCCGTTATCTTTTATCCAGTACCGTCCCAATTACGTGAGTAATATTAAAGCTGTTATCGTGTGTCATGTACAATCTTATGCTGAAAAACCGCGAAAGAGCGAGCCCGCAAAAGTCGAACTGCAAATTATCAAAGGACTACTGTAGTTTTATTTTATCCTTAGAAGACTTGAACGCAGCAGTAGTAAAGAATAATTACTGTAATTAGCCATTTAAATATTGATAATATGGTTTGAAAGTTATTGTTGTATTGGGACTGCAAGTTTTTAGGCTTCCAAGTCCTCACCCACATTTGATGAGATTTTTTGTTTCTGTTTTATTTGAGTGTACTCAAGCTAAGCTGCTCTGTGGAAAGATGATGCTCATTCTGAATCTTGCAGAGTAAGCTGTGATCAATGGATTGTTTTAGAGAAACATGGAAATAGCTCATAATGAGGCATCACATTAGACTCATTTCAGCTAAACAAATCTGCAACGTTGGAAGCAATTCAGAGGTTTGGAACAGTTCTATTTTGCACCAGAGATATGTAAAGATTATTATCTATTTTGTTTGGTTTGAAAATTATGCAATAGTGTTTACCTGTGGATAAAACACAATCTTTGAATAAAATTAAGTAATCCCTGGATAGAATACAGATTAAAGCCTTTCATGCTTGTCGGTGACTGCTGGTGAAATGCTGCTCTCACCTTTTTTAGCTGCCCACTCCTGGTGCCCAGGAAGACCACACTGTGCCCATTGTAGATGTAGGAAGTGACAGAGGTCAGCCTGTCCCTTTGCTCCGTGAACAGTGTCTGACCCGACACCAGCTGGGAGCCCCCCAAGGGTTGGTTTATATCCAGACCACAGAAGTGATCGTCTATGGGGACAGGCTGTGGGGAGAAATGCAAAATGTGAGGGTGAAGAAAACAAAGAAAACTGAAGGAGAAAGATGTTTTTGAGAAGATGAGAGTAAACAGTAAAGTATGTGAACAGAATGTGAGAGATGTAAGGAGGGAGTAATTAGAGAGAGTAAAATATATGAGTGAGAGACTGAGATTAGTGTAGACACACGTGAATATAAGATGAGCAACCAGACTGACTTATAGAAAGCCTAACGAGCAAGAAATGCACTTTTTTCAGGGTTAAAACTGTTACATCAAAAGGGTTTGGACCACTGGGCTTCTGAACAAGCCTAGAGCGGACAAGTTTTTAGAACACACTTAATTGCTCATGGCAAACATAAGGAGCAGTGGTTTTGCGCCAGTTTCTGTGATTTTATTTGGATTGCTTGATCTGACATCATAC